AGGCTTCTTACCTGTTCTACTCTAGAGGAGAGGCTGCAGGAAGGCACACACTTTAAGGAAGCTTCTTACCTGTTCTACTCTACAGGAGGGGCGCTTGGCTGCAGGGAGGCACACACTTTAAAGAGGGTTCTTACCTGTTCTACTCTAGAGGAGAGGCGCTTGACTGCAGGAAGGTGTGCACTTTAAAGAAGCTTCTTACCTGTTCTACTGTAGAGTAGAGGCACTTGGCTGCAGGGAGACACATACTTTAAGGGGGCTTCTTACCTGTTCTACTCTAGAGGAGGGGCATTTGGCTGCAGGGAGGCACACACGTTAAAGAGGTTTATTACCTGTTCTTCTCTAGAGGAGAGGCACTTGGCTGCAGGCAGGTGCATGTGCTTTCTGGTCCTGCGTGCCACACACATGCTCTCTTTTTCCAAGGCAAGTTCTGACTTTTTTTACTCTAGAGGAGGCACCTGGCTGCAGGCAGGCACACATGCTGGGCCTGCATGCCACACATGCACTCTCTCAAGGCAAGGAGGCAAATTCTGGCTTTCTTACTCTAGAGGAGGCACTCGGCTGCAGGCAGGCACATGCACTGGGCCTGCACACTACACATGCACCCTCTCTTTCCAAGGCAAGGAGGCATGGAGCACCATGTGCTCACGAGAGCCAATGATCCGCTCCCGCTTGCTTTCGTGTTGAGAGGGGCGACCCGTTACTTGCTCCTGAAGGTAACAAATGTAACGAAAGAACAGATGTAATGAAGGGAATCAGACCTACACACAACTCTAGTACAGTGTGTCTTATGCTAACGGTTGTCGTAAATTGCTGAGCAAAGTCAATATCTGCCTCCTTTACAGCTTGCCAAGAAGTACGGGCCAGTGTTCACCCTCCATTTCGGATTCCAGAAAGTGGTGGTCCTGACCGGCTATGAAGCGGTGAAGGATGCTCTTGTCAACTTCGCGGAGGAGTTCGTAGACAGGCCGGTGATACCGATATTTCAACAGATCCAGGGCGGAAAGGGTAAATGAGGGAACGGGTTCGGTCCCAAGTCCGAAAACGTTGACAAAGCCCACTCCAAAGACTCAATTGCCCTCAAATTGTCCCAACTAATTCTGCTTTCTGTGGGGCTCAAATCATTTGAAGGACTTAGGGATCCCTGGGCTGCATCCACACTGTCAAATTAATGCAGATTGGCACCAGTTTTACTGCCCCGGCTGGATGCGTTGGAATAATAAGAGTGTGGTGCGGCACCAGCAGAGAAGGCTACTAGACTACAACTCCCATGAGTCAGGATAGTTCGAGGGATGTCAAACTGCATTAATTTTACAGTGTAGATCAGTCATGGGCAAACTTGGGTCCTCCCTCCAAGTGTTTTGGACTTCAACTCCCACAATTCCTAATGGTCTCAGGCCCATTCCTTTCCCCCCTCAGCCAAATAAGCAGAAAAGGAAAAGAAAGGGGTCTGAGGTTGTTGGGAATTGTGGGAGTTGAAGTCCAAAACACTTGGAGAGAGGGCCAAAGTTTGCCCATGCCTGGTATAGATGCATTCAATCCATTCAAAGCCTTCTTTGCTTATATCTCCTGGTTTGCACGAGAACGAAAGTCCATCTGTTTACATTTGGAAGTAGAGGGAGAAGCCACCCTTCCTTAACCATAAACCATTGAAATTGGGTTCCGTCTGTTCCTCAACAACAGGGATCTTCTTCTCAACCGGAGAGCTATGGAGGGCAACCCGGAGGTTCAGTGCCTCCAGCATGCGCAACCTTGGAATGGGGAAGACGCGCATGGAGGAGCACATTCGGGAGGAACTCAACTTTCTTGTGGAGGACATCAAGTCATTCAATGGTAAGCTGGGAAACCAGGTATGTCAGGGCAATCCCTATACTGCTGCCAGGTATGCCGGCCACCTGACCATTTGTTTCAAAGGAAAGTCCACTAGTTAACACGCATGTTAGCCTTGTTTCTGAGTTAAACTACTTCCAGCCGTCATGCATAACCATCATGGTTGGAAAAAGGGTCTTGTAGGTCATTTCAGCCTCTTTTCAAGCATGGAGAGGCATGGAGCTCAGCACATGAGCTAAACTATTTCCAGCAATCACGCATAGCCCTCCGTGGTTGGAAGGAGGCAGAAGTGTCCTGAAAGGAGGGAACTCTGCAATAGACCTCATCACATTGAGAAATTTCTCAGTTGTAGCACACTTCAGTCTCTTTTCAAGAATGGAGAGGCATTGAGCTCATCACATGAGTTAAACTACTTCCGGCCGTCATGCATAGCCCTCCGTGGTTGGAAAGAGGCAGAAGTGTCCTGGAAGGAGGGAACACTGCAATAGACTTCATCACATTGAGAAATGTCTCAGTTGTAGGACACTTCAGCTTCTTTTCAAGAATGGAGAGGCACGGAGCTCGTCACATGAGGTAAACTACTTCCAGCCATTATGCATAGTGCTCCGTGGTTGGAAAGAGGCAGAAGTGTCCTGGAAGGAGGGAACACTGCAATAGACCTCATCACATTGAGAAATATCTCAGTTGTAACACACTTCAACCTCTTTTCAAGAATTGAGAGGAACAGAGCTCATCACATGAGTTAAACTACTTCCGGCCGTTATGCATAGTGTTCCATGGTTGGAAAAAGGCAGAAGTGTCCTGAAAGGAGGGAACTCCTCAATAGACATCATCACATTGAGAAATGTCTCAGTTGTAGGACACTTCAGCTTCTTTTCAAGCATGGAGAGGCACGGAGCTCATCACATGAGTTAAACTACTTCCGGCTGTTATGCATAGCGCTCCGTGGTTGGAAAGAGACAGAAGTGTCCTGAAAGGAGGGAATTCCGCAATAGACCTCGTCACATTGAGAAATGTCTCAGTTGTAACACACTCCAGCCTCTTTTCAAGCATGGAGAAGCATGGACCTAATCACATGAGTTAAACTACTTCCGGCCGTCATGCATAGCCCTCCGTGGTTGGAAAGAGGCAGAAGTGTCCTGAAAGAAGGGAACTCTGCAATAGACCTCATCACATTGGGAAATGTCTCAGTTGTAACACACTTCAGCCTCTTTTCAAGCATGGAGAGGCATGGGGTTCATCACATGAGTTAAACTACTTCTGGCCGTTATGCATAGTGCTCTGTGGTTGGAAAGAGGCAGAAATGTCCTGAAAGGAGGGAACTCAGCAATAGACCTCATCACATTGAGAAATTTCTCAATTGTAACACACTTCAGCCTCTTTTCAAGAATGGAGAGGCACAGAGCTCATCACATGAGTTAAACTACTTCCGGCCATCATGCATAGCCCTCCGTAGTTGGAAAGAGGCAGAAGTGTCCTGGAAGGAGGGAACACTGCAATAGACCTCATCACATTGGGAAATGTCTCAGTTGTAGGCCACTTCAGCCTCTTTTCGAGAATGAAGAGGCATGGAGCTCCTCAAATGAGCTAAACTACTTCCAGCCATTATGCACAGCCCTCTGTGATTGGAAAGAGGCAGAAGTGTCCTGAAAGCAGGGAATTACAGCAATCCACTGCATCACATTGAGAAATGTCTCAGTTGTAACACACTTCAGCCTCTTTTCAAGAATGGAGAGGAACGAAGCTCATCACATGAGTTAAACTACTTCTGGCCGTTATGCATAGTGCTCTGTGGTTGGAAAGAGGCAGAAATGTCCTGAAAGGAGGGAACTCAGCAATAGACCTCATCACATTGAGAAATTTCTCAGTTGTAACACACTTCAGCCTCTTTTCAAGAATGGAGAGGCACGGAGCTCATCACATGAGTTAAACTACTTCCGGCTGTCATGCATAGCCCTCCGTAGTTGGAAAGAGGCAGAAGTGTCCTGGAAGGAGGGAATTCTGCAATAGACTTCATCACATTGAGAAATATCTCAGTTGTAACACACTTCAGCCTCTTTTCAAGAATGGAGAGGAACGAAGCTCATCACATGAGTTAAACTACTTCCGGCCGTTATGCATAGTGCTCCGTGGTTGGAAAGAGACAGAAGTGTCCTGAAAGGAGGGAATTCCGCAATAGACCTCGTCACATTGAGAAATGTCTCAGTTGTAGCACACTCCAGCCTCTTTTCAAGCATGGAGAAGCATGGACCTAATCACATGAGTCAAATTACTTCCGGCCATTATGCATAGTGCTCCATGGTTAGAAAGAGGCAGAAGTGTCCTGAAAGGAGGGAACTCCACAATAGACCTCATCACATTGAGAAATGTCTTAGTTGTAACACACTTCAGTCTCTTTTCAAGAATGGAGAGGCATGGAGCTCATCACATGAGTCAAACTACTTCTGGCCACTATGCATAGCACTCCGTGGTTGGAAAGAGACAGAAGTGTCCTGAAAGGAGGGAATTCTGCAATAGACCTCGTCACATTGAGAAATGTCTCAGTTGTAGCACACTTCAGCCTCTTTTCAAGCATGGAGAGACACGGAGCTCATCACGAGTTGAACTACTTCCGGCCGTCATGCATAGCCCTCTCTTGGTTTTTGAATATGTTGTTTCTCCTCATTTAAAAAAAGAAGTAATACTGGCTGTGTGATGAATGCAAGATGAACATATTGCCAACTCTTAAGTTTCCGCTATTATAAAGAAGACTTGCTTGAGATCTGTTTGCTGACCTCCTTTCTGACATTTCCTCCCTGAAGGTGAACCTTTCAGTCTCAGACACTTTAACCTCGCGCCGACCAACATCACGTTTGTTCTTCTCTTTGGGGAGAGGTTCGACTACAAAGACCCAATGTTCCTCACTCTACTACAACTCATCGACGATGTGATGTGTCTCCTGGGATCTCCATTCTTGCATGTAAGCACATTTCCCCCCATGGAGCACAGGGTGGAGCGTGAGCCCCATTTGACGGTGGATATTCCGCTCTTAGAAAGGCTCTCCCATCCACAACATGATTCTTCATCGCAACTCATATTTTCCTCTCTTCCTCTCTTTTATTTTTCGTTCCTAACTAGCTGTTTAACTTCTACCCATTCCTTGGGATTTTTCTCAAGACGCACAAAAAGTTGCTCAAAAAAGTGGAAGACATCCGCGTCATCATACGGGATTACATTAAGAAAAGCAGGGAAGAAGAAGAAGACAATGGCAAGAGCCTCAGGAGCTACACCGATGCCTTGGTCTCCAAGCAGAAAGAGGTCAGTGCTTATATGATATTTATTTATTTATTTATCATGTCAGGAGCAACCAGACCATTGTATTACATTTCTAACAGAACAAAACAAACAGATAAAAAAAACCCCACAAAGTTTGCAAGCTTGGTAGTTGATTAAATGTCCTTTGACCAGTATCTGGCCCTTTGGAGTGCCTCTGGTGTTGCCGCAAGAAGGTCCTCCATTGTGCATCATGTGGCAGGGCTCAGGGTGCATTGCAGCAGGTGGACAGTGGTTTGCTCCTCTCCACACTTGCATGTCGTGGATTCCACTTTGTAGCCCCATTTCTGAAGGTTGGCTCTGCATCTCGTGGTGACAGAGCACAGTCTCTTCAGCTCCCTCCAAGTCGCCCAGTCTTCTGTGTGCTCAAGGGGTATCAACCATGGATTGATGTTCTGGGTTTGAGCCTGCCACTTTTGGACTCTCGCTTGATTTAAGTCGTTGACGTGCTGACTGATACCCAGAGGCAACCCTAGGTAGTTTTCAATGGTAAGCAAACAGTATTTTGCCCCCCACCAATCATTGATATGGAGCAGGAACGAGAGGGGCTAGGTGAGGCTCAAGGGCCCGGCCTCTTTGGGAAGAGGATTGCCCAGCAGTGAGGCAAGGAAGCCAAGGATCCCCCCGGACTGCTAGGGCTGTTGTGAGCCGAGGGAGCACTCCTCAAGTGGTGGTCGAGGGGCATTTACAGAGGCGCATCTGCGCCCCTGGCAAAAAAAAAGTGTACTGCAACTGCTTACTTTGTGTAATGGATGAGCCACCCCTGCTGACATCCAAACAAGCTGGAGATGTCACTTCCTTGGTCCTTTCACTATTGGCTGCTACTTCCCGGCGGATGTCAGGTAGTGCAATACCAGCTAGACAGTGTAATTTCTCCAGTGGTGCAGGGGGCAGACACCCTGTGATAATGCGGCATGTCTCATTAAGAGCCACATGCACTGTTTTGGCGTGGTGAGATGTGTTCCACACTGGGCATGCATACTCAGCAGCAGAGTAGCACAGCGCAAGGGCAGATGTCTTCACTGTGTCTGGTTGTGATCCCCAGGTTGTGCCAGTCAGCTTTCGTATGATATTGTTTCTAGCACCCACTTTTTGCTTGATGTTCAGGCAGTGCTTCTTGTAGGTAAGAGCATGTCCAGAGTGACTCCCAGGGATTTGGGTGTGCTGCAATGCTCCAGTGGGATTCTTTCCCAGGTGATCCTCAGAACTTGGGATGCTTGTCTGTTCTTAAGGTGAAAGCCACATGTCTGTGTTTTAGATGGGTTAGGGATCAGCTGGTTTTTCCTGTCATAGGCAGTAAGAACACCTAGAGTTTTGGAGAGCTTCTGTTCAACCATCTCAAAGCTCCCTGCTTGGGCGGTGATGGCACGATCATCAGCATAGATGAAACTCTCTGTCCCTTCTGCCAGTGGCTGGTCATTTGTGTAGATGTTGAACATGGATGGGGCAAGCATGCTCCCCTGCGGCAGGCCATTCTTCTGTTTCCGCCATCTGCTTCTTTGGCCCTGCAACTCAACAAAAAAGCTCCTGTTTTGTAGCAGGTTTCCTATGAGGCGGGTGAGGTGGTCGTCCTTTGTGATATTATACATTTTTCTCAAGAGGAATCCATGGTTTACAGTATCATAATTCACTGACAGGTCTATGAAGACAGCTCCTGTGATCTGCTGCCTTTCAAAGCCATCTTCTATGTGCTCAGTCAGGTTCAACACTTGCACATCGCAAGTGTTTCTATGATGACACAAGACCATACGGTTAAGAGGAAACGTTGCAGGAGGAGAGCAAGTGTCCATCGAGCTCAGCATTCTCATTCTCACAACAGTCAGGCGGACAGTTGCTGATGATGATATTTTTGTATCTGTTTCTAATTGATATACTGTATAATATTGTGAGTGGACAACTGCTCACATCATGCGAGGTTAACCCCCTCAAACTCCATCAGTACTTAAAGTTGGTCATTTTTTGCATGTGTGCCAAGTTTGCTGCAGGTGCGTCATTTGTGGGGTCCAGGGTGCTCTCTGGATGTAGGGTGAACTACAACTCCCAACCTGATGGGTCATCCCCACCCCTAAGTCCCTCCAGTAGGTTCAATTGGTCATGGTGGCTCTGTGTGCCAAGTTTGGTCCTAGTCGATTGTTGATGGGAGTTGTTGTGGATATGGTTTCTCTGGATGTAGATGAACTACAACTCCCAACCTGATGGGTCATTCCCATTCCAACCATTCCCATTCCCACCATGACCAACTGAACCCTCCAATAGGTTCAGTTGGTCATGGTGGCTCTGTGTGCCAAGTTTGGTCCAAGTTCATTGTTGATGGGAGTTGTTGTGGATATGGTTTCTCTGGATGTAGGTGAACTACAACTCCCAACCTGATGGGTTATCCCCAACCCCAAACCCCTCCAGTAGGTTCAGTTGGTCATGGTGGCTCTGTGTGCAAAGTTTGGTGTTGGTCCATTGTTGGTGGGAGTTGTTGTGGATACAGTTTCTCTGGATGTAGGTGAACTACAACTCCCAGAAATCAAGGTCAACCCCTTTCACATCCCTTCAGTATTTTCTGTCAATCATGTGGGTTCAGTGTGCCAAGTTTGGTCCAGGTCCATCATTGGTGTCGTTCAGAGTGCTCTTTGATTTTAGGTGAACTATACATCCCAGCAACTATAACTCCCAAATGTCAGGGTCAATCACTCCTAAACCCCACCAGTATTCAAATTAAGGTATATCAGGTATGCATGCAAAGTTTTGTCCACATCCATCATCATTTGGGTTCACAATGCTCTCTGCATGTAGGTGAACTACAACTCCCCAAACTCAAGGTCAGTCCTATCCTCACATCATCCAAACCCCTCCAGTATTTTATGTCGGTATTTCAGTGTGCCAAGTTTGGTCCAGGTCTATCATTGGTAAGGTTTAGAGTGCTCTTTGAGTGTAGGTGAACTATAAATCCCAACAACTATAATTAAAAATGTCAAGGTCAATTCCACCCAAACCCCAACAGTAGTCAAATTTAAGTATATTGGATATGCTTGCCAAGTTTGGTCCAGGTCCATCATTGGTTTGATTCAGAGTGCTTTTTGATTGTAGGTGAACTATAAATCCCAGTGACTACAATTAAGAAATATCAAGGTCTATTCCACCCAAACCCCAACAATAGTAAATGTGGGTATATCGGGTATGCATGCCAAATTTGGCCCACACTCATCATTGTTTGGTTCACAGTGTTCTCCAAATGTAGGTAAACTACAACTCCCCAAACTCAAGGTCATCTCTTCAGTATGTTCAGTTGGTCATGGGGCTTCTGTGTGTCGAGTTTCACCCAGATTTGTCATCAGTGAAGGTCATAGTTGTCTCTAGAAGTGAGAGCCCATAGGAAATTGGCCACAAAAAGACATATCTGCCCACATACATACATACATACATACATACAAGGGTTGAATGAAAAGTAATCCTCCATCTTCATAACTCCTCCACAGATGGTAGCACTGGTATGCAGCAGGTACTGGCTTGTTCAGTAGACTCTCCTCTACAGTTCCATTTTGGCGGGAAGACTTGACATTGAATGGTTGTGTTGTTAAAGTGCAAAGTATGGAACCCTGCACAGAAGGTCGGTCAATGCGACTTAAGCAACGTTCAGTCATCGAATCCTTGAGAGCAGAAGGTGTCAGCTCAACATCTTTAAACTTACTCACCCAACGACACACAGTACTCACATCAACACAATCACCATAAACAGTTTGCATTCTCCTTTGGGGTGACACCTTCAATGACTGCATGTTGTTTAAGTTGCATTGACTGACCATCTGCACAGGGTTCCATACTTTGCACTTTAACAACACAACTGTTCAATGCTAAGGCTTCCCGCCCAAATGGAACTGTAGAGGAGAGTCTACTGAACAAGCCAGTGCCTGCCACATACCAGGACTGCCATCTGTTGAGGAGTTACGAAAGTGGAGGCAGTACTTTTTCTGCTAAGTCTTCCTGCCAAAATGGAACTGTAGAGGAGAGTCTACTGAACAGGCCAGTACCTGCCGCATTCGTTGCTTAAGTTGCATTGACCGACCGTCTCCGCAGGTTTCCATACTTTGCACTTTAACAACACAACCGTTCAATGCTAAGGCTTCCCGCCAAAATGGAACTGTAGAGGAGAGTCTACTGAACAAGCCAGTACCTGCTGCATTTGTTGCTTAAATCCCATTGATCGACCATTTGCGCAGAGTTCCATACTTTGCACTTTAACAACACAAGTGTTCAATGCTAAGGCTTCCCGCCCAAATGGAACTGTGGAGGAGAGTCTACTGAACAAGCCAGGACCTGCTGCATTTGTTGCTTAAGTCACATTGACTGACCGTCTGTGCAGGGTTCCACACTTTGCACTTTAACAACACAAGTGTTTCAATGCTAAGGCTTCCCGCCAAAATGGAACTGTAGAGGAGAGTCTACTGAACAAGCCAGTACCTGCCACATACCAGTACTGCCATCTGTTGAGGAGTTACGAAGTGGAGGCAGTACTTTTTCTGCTAAGTCTTCCCACCAAAATGGAACTGTAGAGGAGAGTCTACTGAACAAGCCAGTACCTGCCGCATTCATTGCTTAAGTTGCATTGACCGACCGTCTCCGCAGGTTTCCATACTTTGCACTTTAACAACACAACCGTTCAATGCTAAGGCTTCCCGCCAAAATGGAACTGTAGAGGAGAGTCTACTGAACAAGCCAGGACCTGCTGCATTTGTTGCTTAAATCCCATTGATCGACCATTTGCGCAGAGTTCCATACTTTGCACTTTAACAACACAAGTGTTCAATGCTAAGGCTTCCCGCCCAAATGGAACTGTGGAAGAGAGTCTACTGAACAAGCCAGTACCTGCTGCATTCATTGCTTAAGTCACATTGACTGGCCGTCTGTGCAGGGTTCCACACTTTGCACTTTAGCAACACAACCCTTCAAAGCTAAGGCTTCCTACCAAAATGGAACTGTGGAGGAGAGGCTACTGAACAAGCCAGTACCTGCCACATTCGTTGCTTAAGTCACATTGAGCCATCAAGATAGATGGAGACGAGCCTCTTGGCTGCCATGCCCTTTTGGGTGTCAAAGCCTGGAAGATCCCAACCCAAGGCACCGCCAACACGAGGCAAGGTTTTCCCATTCTTTCGCCACATCGTTTGCACAGACAACGCAGTGGAGATGGGTTGCAGATAACGTTCCAGACAGAGAGGGAAAAGGAGGTGTTCGTAATATTAAGCAAGGGAACGCTCTTATCTCCAGTCAGCTGCTGATCCAAGATAAGAGCTCTTCCTTGCCCGGGCCCATTGTTCATAAGCCATATCCAGTCTGGAAATTCGTAGTTCTTCATGCCAGCCTTGATGCACTTTTTCCAAAAGTTATCTAACATTATGGACATCTCCGTTGTTGCACAACAATGGGAACTCCAAAGTTAATCCAGATATCAATAAGAGCCTCCTCCTTCCACTGGTGTAAATGTAACCTCAGCCAGTTCTGTCCCTCAAAGAGCAAATGAGGAACTTTGGTCCTTAAGATCTTCTGAACTCTTGAAATTAGAATCATAGAATCCTAGAACCCTAGAGTTGGAAGAGATCTCATGGGCCATCATCCAGTCCAACCCCATTCTGCCAAGAAGCAGGAAAATTGCATTCAAAGCACCCCTGACAGATGGCCATCCAGGCTCTCCTTCAAAGCCTCCAAAGAAGGAGCCTCCACCACACTCTGGGGCAGGGAGTTCCACTGCTGAACGGCTCTCACAGTCAGGAAGTTCTTCCCATTGTTCAATATGGAATCTCACATAGAGTCCTAGAGTTCAGAGAGACCTGGTGGACCATCCAGTCCAACCTTATTCTGCCAAGAAGCAGGAAAATAGCGTTCAAAGCACCTCCGACAGATGGCCATCCTGCCTCTGCTTCAAAGCCTCCAAAGAAGGAGCCTCCACCACAATCCGGGACAGAGAGTTCCACTGCTGAACAGTTCTAACATAGAATCCTAGAGTTCAAAGAGACCTGGTGGACCATCCAGTCCAACCTCATTCTGCCAAGAAGCAGGAAAATTGCATTCAAAGCACCCTGACAGATGGCCATCCAGCCTCTGCTTCAAAGCTTCCAAAGAAGGAGCCTCCACCACACTCCAGGGCAGAGAGTTCCACTGCTGAACAGCTCTCACAGTCAGGAAATTCTTCCTCATGTTCAGGTGGAATCTCCTTTTCTGTAGTTTGAAGCCATTGCTCCATTGCATTCTAGTCTCCAGGGAAGCAGAAAGGAAGCTTGCTCCCTCCTCTCTAGGACTTCCTCTCACCTATCTATCTATCTATCTATCTATCTATCTATCTATCTATCTATCTATTTATTAGCATATAATGGCTTGACAGTGCCTGGAGCAAACTTTTGTTGAGAGGTGATTAGATGTCCTTGTTTGTTTCCTCTCTGTTGTTGTGCTGTTGTAATTTTAGAGTTTTTAAATACTGGTAGCCAGATTTTGTTCATTTTCATGGTTTCCTCCTTTCTGTTGAAATTGAATATTATCTCCTCTCAACAAAAGTTTGCTCTAGGCACTGTCAGGCCATTATATGCTAATCAAGGTGGTCAGTTGAAACATTCACATCTAGCTCCAGCAGACAAGAGTCCTTTGTCCCACCCTGGTCATTCCATAGATATATAAACCCTTTTTCCTAGTTCCAACAGACCTCACTACCTCTGAGGATGCTTGCCATAGATGCAGGCAAAACGTCAGGAGAGAATGCCTCTAGACCATGGCCATATAGCCCGAAAAAACCTACAACAACCCAGTGATTCCGGCCATGAAAGCCTTCGACAATTATTGTTATTGTTATTCTTATATTATTAAGTTGTTGTTGTTATCATCATAATCACACCATGACCACAGAAACCATATCCTTGATTTCACCTTCCCAAATTTGTGCACCTCTATGGTATGTTAGGACCAGCAGTCAGTTAATTTAATGGCCTCCAGTTGTATCTCTGGGATCAGGTAACTGGGAACATGTTCCCTATAGATATGAGGTGTGCCTTGCTGTCATTGTGATAATTATACCTGTATTGAAGTTTTCGTTTAGCTTTTAATTGGTATCATTTTAAGTATGGGTTGTTGTAGGTTTTTTGGGCCATATGGCCATATTCTAGGGCAGTGTTTCTCAACCTGGGGGTCAGGACCCCTGTGGGGGTCGCGAGGGGGTGTCAGAGGGGTCGCCAAAGACCATCAGAAAACATAGTATTTTCTGTTGGTTATGGGGGTTCTGTGTGGAAAGTTTGGTCCAATTCTATCGTTGGTGGGGTTGAGAATGCTATTTCATTGTGGGTGAACTATACATCCCAACAACTACAACTCCCAAATGGCAAGGTATATTATCTCCAAACTCTAGCAGTGTTCACATTTGGGCATATTGAGTATTTGTGCCAAGTCTGATCCATATCCATCATTGCTTGAGTCCACAGTGTTCTCTGGATGTAGGTGAACTACAACTCCAAAAACTCAAGGTCAATGTCCACCAGACCTTCCCAGTATTTTCTCTTGGTCATGGGAATTCTGTGTGCCATGTTTGATTCAATTCCAACATTGATGGAGTTCAGAAGGCTCTTTGATTTAAGGTGAACTATAAATTCCAGCAACTTCAGCATTACCAAATGACAAAATCGATCACCCCCAATTCCACCAGTATTCAAATTTTGGGCCTATCAGGTATTTGTGCTAAATTTGGTCCAGTGAATGAAAATACATCCTGCATATTTACATTATGACTCTGAACAGTAGCAAAATTACAGTTATGAAGTAGCAACGAAAATAACGTTATGGTTGGGGGTCACTACAACATGAGGACGTGTACTAAGGGGTTGCGGCATTAGGAAGGTTGAGAACCACTGTTTTAGGGCTATATGGCCATGTTCATTTTAAGGATGTTGTTGGAAGATTGGTGAGACGTGAATTATGATGATAATGATTTCTGCCATGCTTCCTACTTCAGGAAATGGGCAAGAAGGACAACCTCTTTCATGAGGACAACGTGGTAGCATCCATCCTCGATCTTGTAATGGCTGGAACAGAGACGGCGGCAACTACAATGCAATGGGTGGTTCTCCTGATGATGAAGTACCCAAAGATTCAAAGTGAGCTTTCTCATTTTACCTTGATGACCCATTTTACCTTTGAAGA